CCGCTGCTGGGAGCGATCTGAGCCCTGATGTAGGGACCTTAATAATTCGAACAGGTGTTGGGCTCCTTTATAGTATAAATAAAATAAGGAACTCTAAGGATGAGGCTTTCCCCTGCTGTGCCGGGAGGCATGGGTGTAGGGTTTAGGGTTTAGGCATTTAAGGTTTAGGGCTTAGGGTTGAGATTTAGGTTTAGGGATTGGGGATTCAAGGTTTAGGGTGTAGGGTTCGGGCTCAGGAGAGATCGAACGGCTGAGCCTCGAGGGCAGAGCCGCTGCCCAAAGGCAGCCTCGGAGCCTCTCCAGCAAGCTTGGGGTCAGGGTTTAGGGTTTAGGGTTTAGGGTTTAGGGGTTTAGGGTTTAGGGCTTAGGGTTGAGATTTAGGTTTAGGGTTTAGGGGTCAGACTCTTCTACCACCCGAAGCCCCAAACACACAACCAAAAACCCCTGAACCCCAAAACCCTAAACTCACAACCCTAAACCCAAAAAATCCGAAAACCCCCAGAGCCAGGACTCTCAGAAATAACACAATCCCACAGAACATGCAATCAAGACTTAATGATAGCATCTGTTACAGTACCCATCCTTATAGTACCCATTTTAACTCGACAGAAAATGTATCCCGAAACATTCTGATTGTTCACTCCTCCAACTTTGTGTCTCGGCTCTTGAGACGTCGACTGCACAGCTTGGCTTCCGCCCGAAGCACGGTGCGAGGGATCCAGCCTAGGGCTCTCCGGAAAGTCTGTAACATGGGTTTGGGGCATTGGTGGGTAAAGTCAGTTATTTTGTTTTTTTTGTTTTTTTTTGGAGGGGGGGTGGGGGGGGAGGCCTCATTTTTTTTAAGTGTGATGAGCCCAGAGGAGTTAGGTGTGAAGTTCCGCATGTGCCTTCTGACAAAGGGACCACTGGAAGTTCCGCAGACCAGTCGTAATACAAGGGCCGTAAAATAACAATATCAACATACCTTTGGAGGGCAAATTATGGTCCTGAGGCTGATACAGGTGCAAGACAAGGCGGCTATCGTTCCTGCCGGTGCGCCGTTCGTACCGAGTAGCCTTAAAAGAAGCACACATGGAGCATGAAATAACGGAACCGTCTCCGCAGGAAACCTCTCACCGCTCTTGAGCCATACCACGCTCGCAGTCCGTCACAATCCAAACACCGCTAAACCCTCAGCCCCTCATTTCTGAACTCCGAACCTTATTGAGCCTAAACCCCGAACCCCATTCACACGATCCAACAGGAAAGGGCCAAAAGCGCTCTTTTCACCTCCAGCTTTGCCGGTCGAGTCTGAAATCAGAGTCCCGGACGACTTACAAAACGGGCTCATGGCTTGTGGGATGTAACTAATGATGAAGATAAACCATAGAACATAACAGGGCCTTTGGGTTTAGGGCTTGGCAGGGCTTGTTGGGCTGTTGTGTTTGGAGGCTTCAATGGTCTCGGTGTAGAGTTTAGCGGAATCTGGCTCGCGAGAGCAGGGTCCCATATGATGCCGGCGACACCTCGCAAGGATGTCATCCCAGGTCCGGCGCCACAGCATCTTAGGGGGTTTGGGGTATAGGGTCCTTACATTTTAAGTTGGGGCTTTGTCGGTGGGCTTTCTTCCGACTGTGAACGGCTAGAACTCCTTGCAAGGACCAGGGGTTGGATCCTTTACATCGTTCGGGGGTGGGGTTCAGGCTTGAGGCTTTGGTTTTGAACTCTTTGAAGCCAGTCTGGAGCAGGTCCAACGTCTCTGCTGCCCAAACCCCAAGCGTGTCCATGTACGCAAATAGCACATTCTTTGGCCCTAAAGTACCTGTATAGGGACTATACTTTTGAGGCCAAAGTAGAAGCCCGTTGAACTGCGTCAGGCTTCTCCAGTGCCAATAAAAAAGTTGATGCAAGCCGTCAATCCAATGAGAGCTTTCTGCGTATGGCTTTGGATTGACATCTGACCAAAAGCTTCGGCATTTATCCGACCAGTTGCTTGTGTGGTGCCCGGTGGGATCAACCCTTATTTTGCCAGGGCTGGTAGGAACAGGGTCTCAGCCTCTGGAGCTTCATGTCAAAGGCTTAAGGAATCCGATTATGGGTTTTGATTTTGGGTTTTGTTTTTGGGTTTTTGGGTTTTTGGTTTTGCGTTTTTGGGTTTTTGGGTTTTTGGTTTGGGGTTTTGCCTTGAGGGTCCAGGGCCATCTGCGGTGCCGGAAGTTGTCCTGGGTGCCAGGGCTTAGGGCGTAGGGCACAGTGTTTGACGACAAGGTTCTCGGAGATGAGCAGCTTCAAGGGAACACTCTGCGAAATCATAAACGAGCCTGCGCCGTGACGTCTCCCTCATCATAATAAGAACCCAGAATGATTCGGCTCTCATTGAGGTTGAGGATCATGTCTTGAAAACTGTTGCGCCAAGCTGCTGCAACAAGACTAGGGCCTGCTCCCACTGTTGGGTCAGCTGGGCCTCTTCTCTCGGTTACTTCGTCGGGAATGAGGGAACATGATAAGCTGGGTTCTTGTTAAGGGATTTAATTTAAGTTACCATAATAGGGATCTATAGTAAATAATATGGTTTCCTTATTATGGTAACTTAAATTAAATCGCTTAACAAGAACCCAGTAAGAGGCATCATGACGTGGGGTGATGTGCGGATTGATGCGGATTGATGCGGATTGATCCGTTCCATCATTCCGTGCCCAAAAACTGCTTGGCAGATGGATGGGGGTCCTGGGTGACAGAGATTGAACTTCCAGTCATAGGGGTCTAGAATGTAGGCTGTAGGATTCAAGAACGGAAATTCAGAATTTGCTCAGCGCCGCGACTGCTGCCGCACCACTGGGCGTTCGTCGGCATTGCGGGTGGTCATGCGCCAGTCGGGCACGGTACTGTTGACCCATTCGGCCACAATGAACTCCAAGGCACCTGCAGGACACAACAGGACCCACATTCCGAATGTTTCGGGGCTCAGGATAAGGGTGGAGCCGGGCTCTTGTGCAAGAAATTGCTGTCGTGTTTGCCAGGCATTATGTTATGAGACTACTACCTAGTTGTTGAGTTCATAAGCCCAAGCGTGTAAGCGTTCAGCTTTATAGCAGGTAGTACTAAGTTACTATATATCCCAACAAGTGTAAAGTGCACCCATTCAGCTACTAAGAATAACACATTCGTTCATTTCATCCTCGCCTCGGTTGCTCGGACAGTCCTGCACTCTAAGGTGAGCGCAGTTGACTATGGTTTTCCTCAAAAAACCTTCTGCGGGCTCAAAACAACGCCACAAGACTCAAACTACCCGAAACCCTCGCTTCCTCAGTTTCTTGCCGCGCCTTCCTCCTCAAGCTTTCGGTATAGTGAAAGCCTCGACAAGCACATTGGCTGCTTGGAGTAGGATTCTGCTCAAGGTACTTATTGTGTAGACGCCGATGAAAAACGAGGACCCCAAAAACTCACAAGTTGTTGTTACTTCCTGGGTCTTCGCAGGAATATGTCCGGTTGAAACAAGACTGCACATGCATATACATATGTATATGCGTGTACACCACAATCTATCTATATACGTGCATGATACACATACATACATACATACATACATACATACATACATACATACATACATACACGTCCGTATGCATCGATCGAGTCGAGATGTTCCCTTCGGGTCGACAAAATATGTTTAGGGTTTGGGGGCCAGAGGATTTCGGGCTTCAATATATCCCGGCGGCTTAGTTGAGCGTGCAGTGATTTTCCAGCTTCGTGCTGAGACGTGACATTACGGTTTCGGGCGCAGGGTCTACGTATTCCGCTTGAGGGTTTAGGCCTCGTAGCTTAAGGCTTTGGGCTTCAGGATGTTCCGGGTAGGGAATTACCCAACACCGGAAGACGTTGGGCTAAGGGTTTAGGGCTACCGAAGACGCACAGTATTGGACGAGGTCTTCAAAACCCCTTAACCCTAAACCCTAAACCGTTGAAAGCAAACGCCCCTGTGTCGCAGGCCTTCGGTTGCCGGTGAAGGTCCACCAGCGTGGCTTGCCCGGGGACGTTTGTTGGTGGGAATGCCACGTGATCCTTGGGCGGAGACAATTTCAAGCTAAGCTTCGGCGGCTTAGATTCTTTACATACTCAAAATCGGGCTCACACGATTTAGGGGCTTGGGGGTCGGATTGTCTAGCCTGGGGCAAGGTGTAAGCTGAGGGGCTGGATCTTCTCGATGTCTTCAATCTTGCATTCCCCAGACCTGTCGCTTGGCGTGGTGTTGTCCGAAATTATAGAAGTTTAGAGCTGTGGCTCTTGGGTGTGGGAGGCTTTGGGGGTTTAGGGCTTATATGGCTTGGAGCTTTAATGCTTCATCGCCTTGCTAAGCAGTGGGGCAGGATGTGTCAGCGCGGAGTCCTGCGAAGGAAGCCTCTCCGAAGTCCCTCGTAGACTGCGGAAGCAGCGCCAACACCGCCCCTAAACCCTAAACCCGACACCCTAAACCCCTAAACCCTAAACCCCTAAACCGTTGATCGAGGTTTAGGGTTGAGGGGAACAGCGTTAACAGGGGAAGAACGGCTTGCAGATGCTAACCCTACCGGTAGCACAAAAAACCTATCGGTTTGGGGGGCTACAAGTAAGACTTAATGCCCAACAATCCCTGAACTGTCATCGCCGGGCCTGATTTTGGCCATTGTGCCGTCCAAAGTGTTGCCATCTTTGAATGCTTTTCCGATGGAGTCCTGCGGAATCGTTTGAAGACTAGCAGCTCTGTAACAGTACATGCTGCCTTGGGGTTCATTCGGATGTTGTTGCGCTGTTTATGGGCTGTGGCAGCAGCAGCAGCAGTAGGAGGGAACCAGCACAAGAGTTCTCACAGGTAGACATTACAAGCGAACACGTTAGGGCTCTAGGACGGATGTTCAATGAGGAATCATGTCAATCCCCATGTCCTAAGACACCCTGCGTACCCGCCGGTCTGCGCGAGTGAAGCGGGAGATTTCCTGCACTGGATCAAGACCTGCCCTAGCACCCTGGGCTGCTGGCCCGAATACAATACACGTAAACCAGTAACACCAGAACCGTAAACCATACCTCAACCCTGAACCATGAAGAAGGCTTCTAGGCCTGCAAGAGCCCACTATAACATACCCCACACCCTATTCCAACTGTTATGGCCCTTATGCTATGAAACCCGTCTACCAAGGAACCGTTAAGTAACCCTTCAAAGGAACTTTAGTTAACGAAGCCCGAATCGAATTATGAATACCCTCATAAAACGAATCGCGACACGTTCCAATCCGTACGCTCTCAGACCTCTGGACTCTCCCCAAGCATCCTACATACCTACAGGGTCTAAGCTTTAGGGCGGTAGGTTTAGGGCAGGTTAGGGCGTAGAGGTTAGGGCTTAATTAGGGTTGATGGTTTAGGGCTTAAGCTTTCAATATGAAGGCAGGGCCTCTATAGTAGTATCAGCCGTATACATGTTTCGGACACCTCGGATACTTAAACACGCCCAGAAACCCCGTAAAACCACCCAGTCAAAAAGCCAACTTGTGAACCCTACAAAACAACTTGGTCTCAAGTTATACTATCCCCTCAACACCTTTGTTCCAGGTGGCAAAACTCCTATGCTACCAAAATCAAATCTCTGCAGAGACTAGAGGGGTAGAGTTTTGTGTTTGTGGGGCATAGAGGAATCTTACACAAAAACCCTACGTACGCTTGAAACGCAGCACCCGACCTGGCTGAAGGAAATGTCGCGTGGCCTTATCTTCCATAGCCTCAGAGGCGGAAATGCTACGGCAAACGTGTTCAGGGTTCAGGGTTCAGCGCTTAGGGTTTGTGGTTCAGGGTTTGCCGTGGAATAGTAACAGCGCATAGGCGACAGAATCTTGCGACAAGGTTGTGCACTATGGCGATGAGCTGTGCATGCCCGTCTATAGAAGGCTTGTCGTTCTTTCTCCCCCACCCCACGCCGTACAACGCGGCAAACCGCCCAACAGGGTTAGGAGAGTGCAGTGCAGGGCAGGACAAAGCAAAACAAACAAAGGCAGGCAGGGCAATAATTTGGCCAGATCTTTCCCAGGACCGGAGCTCTGCTCGCTGGGCGCCTGGTCCGGGGGTGCTACAGTCCCCAGGGCTGGCGTACTGGTCGGCATTTCGCGATCGGTGGGTGAAGGGCTTATGCGTCGCCCGCCCACAGCAGGTGGGCGGCCTATGCCTTGAGTTTACGGTTTAAGGACGTTTGAGGTTTAGGCCGCAAGAACACATGTTAAGTGGTGCGGGTATATTAACTTTTGGGGAAGGTTTAAGATTTAAGGAAAAGGCATACGAGTCACCTCAGATCTTGGGCCGTATCTGGCGCACCATAACAGTGGCTGTGACCGTATTCGTGAATATAAGCGCCTACCCTGAGAAGCCTGGAATCTGTTGATTCAAGCTTTTCCGTCTGTTCCATGTGTGTTTAGCTGTTTTGACAGTTGCCACTGTGCTATCTGCCCCCTAGTTTGCTTGGACCCATGCCATACCAAGACCACTGGCAAGAGCAGACAACTTTAAGCCCTAAATCCTAACCCTTGCAAGCTGACAGGTCTTGGCATGATGTTTGTGGCAGGGAGCTGCAGCCGTTCAGGGCTTAGAGGGCTGGGCTTTTGGGTATCAACCCCAAAACTTATATCCTGTAGGGCTCAGAGTTACAAACTAACCGGAAGCTTCAGGTTCCGAAGGACCCCATGAAGGATCAGTTTTTGTGTTGTGTGGGTTAATGCCAGTTAAGTACTTGGGTTTAGTATTGGTGTTGTAACAGGTTGATACCTTGGTGAGTTTCAGGGTCCTGTTTAGAAGGGTGCCGTACTATCTTGGGGACCTAGGAAGGAAGCCCTAATTGAGAATTACACATATGACCCTTGGCCTGAGCCTTGGGGCTTCAGCAAAGGCACCTTTTTCTAGATGTGGACGGGATTTCGTGCCCAGACTTCGAATGGTCGTGACCTGCGCTGCTTTTCCGTGTCAGGGTTTAGGCGTTTGGGTTTAAGGTTGGTTTAAGAGTTTTGGGTTTGGGGTTTAGGAGTTCAGGGTTTAGGGTTTAGGAGTTAGGCCATGAAGCGCTTCCCAAACTTCTCGGCTTTGGGGAATGTTGCGCTTCGAACCCCTGAGGTTTACCCACATCGAGCAGTTGTGAAAACCGCTGTCCTTTTTCGCAGAACCTATACAATTCTACTCTTAACACAACACCTCTAGTTCGGGGATCCAGAAGGGGCCCTGATTTTGCCAACCACCCTCATGAGCTTAAACCAAAAGTTCCTGATATGGAGCAGCAAAAAAATTAGAGATTCTGATTGGAAGTAACCCGTGTTTGGATTCCCGTGTTACAGGATTGCCTGAACTCCAAACCCCAAACATCCCCAAACGCTAAACCTAACCTCTGAGCCCTAAACTGCTTCAACCCCAAGCCCTAAACACCCTTTATTGAAGCCAAACCCTAAAACCCTTCAAGCATTCCGGGATAGAAGAAGTAGCAGTGGTAGTAGTAAGAGTGAAAAGAGTAGGAGTAGTAGTAGTAGTAGTAGTAGTAGTAGTAGCAGAGCAGTAG